AGATTTATATGACCTCAGTTTCTCTTTACGATCAGTTTCTCTATAAGGTAGGTGTAGAAGTCAGGACACTCAACCGAGGAAACGTACGTTAATCCTGTCAGATCGTCCATGCATTGAGTGAGTGTGTAGGCGGCTACAGGTCGGCCAATCTGGTTCCGGCCGTTAAAAATAACTTTTGGAAATAACAATCGCGGTCCTGGACACTGAGTGACCTTACACATTAAGATAAAATCGGATTTTCTCCAGTCATTGTTAAAAAACAAGCTAACAATAACTAGTGTTAGTGAAGCGGCCAGGGGATTGTTTTGCCTCCACGTAAGCTCCGCCTACAAAAAACGTCACCATGTTTTCCAACTGAAAAGGGGTCTATACAATTGAAATGTATCTTTTTTAATAGATATGAGTCTGGTGATCTTGTGTTAAACAGTTAAAACATGCAGTAGATATGTGTCACAGTCTTCGTCTGCACCGTCCTGTCCTGTCATCGGCACTACACTTCCCAGGATCCTCTCGTCACCCTATCCCGTGTTCACTCCCTCATCAGCCACCTGTTCCTCGTCATCGTCATCTGTTTCACCTGTCTTCACCTCATTATGTTTGATTCTTCTGTGTATTTAGTTCCCTCAGTTTCCTTCAGTCTTTGTCGATCGATGTTAATGTTACGCTGTGTTCTGCCTGCCTGTCTTCTGTTTATTTATGATTAAACCCTTATATTGGAGCTTTCTGGACTCTGCCTGTTCGTCCTTCTGCCTGAACCCGCACCCGTGACAGATCGATCGACCTCCAAAAATGGATTTAGCAGCGGTACAACTTCTCCTCCTGGAGCAGGAGGATCAATCCCTCGAGGCCCACACACAGAGGTATTTGGACTTGGTACCTCACGTTCACTATGATGACACAAGCCTCTGTGTGTTCTTCCGGGCAGGCCTAAACGCTGAAACCCAGGCACGCCTGCCCGGAGACGGGCCTCGAGGGGACTTTGTGGCCTATGTGGAGTGGGTGCTGGTGTCATGTGGATCTCCCTTTACCATGTATGACGTCACCAGCCCCACTCCATTGCTCGAGTGCTCTTCACCGCTGGTTCCGTCCAGCTCTCCAGAGATTGAATGCTCTTCACCGCTGGTTCCGTCCAGCTCTCCAGAGATTGAATGCTCTTCACCGCTGGTTCCGTCCAGCTCTCCAGAGATTGAATGCTCTTCGCCGCTGGTTCCGTCCAGCTCTCCAGAGATTGAATGCTCTTCCCCGCTGGTTCCGTCCAGCTCTCCAGAGACTGTATGCTCTTCACTGCTGGTTCCGTCCAGCCCTCCAGAGACTGTATGCTCTTCACTGCTGGTTCCGTCCAGCTCTCCAGAGACTGTATGCTCTTCACTGCTGGTTCCGTCCAGCCCTCCAGAGACGGTATGCTCTTCACAGCTGGTTCCGTCCAGCCCTCCAGAGACTGTATGCTCTTCACTGCTGGTTCCGTCCAGCCTCCAGAGACTGTATGCTCTTCACTGCTGGTTCCGTCCAGCGCGCCAGTGACCGTCCAGCCAGCGCCAGAGACCGTCCAGCCAGCGCCAGAGACCGTCCAGCCAGCGCCAGAGACCGTCAAGCCAGCGCCAGAGACCGTCCAGCCAGAGCCCGAGACCGTCCAGCCAGCGCCAGAGACCGTCAAGCCAGCGCCAGAGACCGTCCAGCCAGCGCCAGAGACCGTCAAGCCAGCGCCAGAGACCGTCCAGCCAGAGCCCGAGACCGTCCAGCCAGCGCCAGAGACCGTCCAGCCAGCGCCAGAGACCGTCCAGCCAGCGCCAGAGACCGTCAAGCCAGCGCCAGAGACCGTCCAGCCAGAGCCCGAGACCGTCCAGCCAGCGCCAGAGACCGTCCAGCCAGCGCCAGAGACCGTCCAGCCAGCGCCAGAGACCGTCCAGCCAGCGCCAGAGACCGTCCAGCCAGCGCCAGAGACCGTCCAGCCAGCGCCAGAGACCGTCCAGCCAGCGCCAGGGACCGTCCAGCCAGCGCCAGGGACCGTCCAGCCAGCGCCCGAGACCAGGATCCCACCCAGCCTCCCTCTCCCACCTCCTCCCGTCTGGCATCCGTCAGCCCCTCCGTCTGCCAGCTCCCCTGACCCAGCTGGGTCGTTGGATCCCCGGCCTTCGCCTCACACCTCCTCCATTTGGACACTTCCTCGGCCCCCGGTCCCATCGGCTCCCCCGTGGCTGCTACCTCCCTCAGCTCCTCCATGGTCCCACAGTCCACCAGCTCGGCCAGGCTCCCTCGTCCCTCCGAACTCCCTGCACTCCCTCGTCATCCTCCCCTCACCTATGGACTTCCTTACTTTGGCTCCGCCCCGTTTCGTCACCCCTTCGGTTCTGTTGGACTCCTCACTCCCTCCAGTCACCCGTCAGCCCTCACGCACTCTGACCTCACCGTGTCCCTCTGTGCCCCTGTCAGCACTTCTGTCACCAGAGCCTGCGGTGTCCCCTTGTTCCCTCGGTCCCTCTTCAGCACCCATCGTCGTCTGTCCCTCAGCTACACCCTGGTCTCCTCTCCCATCCGCTCCGCCCCCGTCAGTCGGCCCCCTGGTGTTGTCAGCCCCACTACCATCGGCTCCACCAGGGGTCCTCCCTCCAGCTGCTCCGCCCTGGTCTCGCCCTCATCATGCTCCGCCCTGGTCTCGCCCTCAGCCTGCTCCACCCTGGCCACGCCCTCAGCCTGCTCCGCCCTGGTCACGCCCTCAGCCTGCTCCGCCCTGGCCACGCCCCGCCCAGGCCCCAGTTCGTCCCCCCTCCTTCCTCTGTTATGCGGCGTGAGGTCACGCCTCCCGGGAGGGGGGAGTTCTGTCACAGTCTTCGTCTGCACCGTCCTGTCCTGTCATCGGCACTACACTTCCCAGGATCCTCTCGTCACCCTATCCCGTGTTCACTCCCTCATCAGCCACCTGTTCCTCGTCATCGTCATCTGTTTCACCTGTCTTCACCTCATTATGTTTGATTCTTCTGTGTATTTAGTTCCCTCAGTTTCCTTCAGTCTTTGTCGATCGATGTTAATGTTACGCTGTGTTCTGCCTGCCTGTCTTCTGTTTATTTATGATTAAACCCTTATATTGGAGCTTTCTGGACTCTGCCTGTTCGTCCTTCTGCCTGAACCCGCACCCGTGACAATATGACTAGTAATGATGCCAAAATTGTATCTAACACAACTCAATCAAGGTTCCCAACTTCAATGGGAACCAAACGGTTCAAGGTCCAAAAGACAGTTTCAGTGTAAACTGTTCAAAGGGCTTTAAACGATTCCAGACGATGAATAAGGGTCTTGTCAAGCGAAACGATCACTCATTTAATAAATAATTTACTTAATGTTTTAAAATTTTTATAAATGAGCGATCGTTTTGCTTGATAAGACCCTTATTCATCGTCTGGTGTCGTTTAAAGCCCTTTGAACAGTTTGCACTGAAACTGTCTTTTGGACCTTGAACCGTTTGGTTCCCATTGAAATCCATTATATGGACTACTTTAATCTGTTGTGTTTCACAGTTATTTGAGATTACCTTCTTTTAGTGATGAGAGCTTTTTAAAAACTTTGAATCAATCGCTTTGCAAAATTAATCATTGTATCGAAGCTCACAAACACTGCTGATCAGACCAGTGTCAATGCAACAACAACTCAGTCCAAACATTAATAAAACACCTTTTACAAACCAAAATGTATTCTATTGAACCAATTAACAAATCATCTAATACCATTGTTTTGTTTTATGGAGAGCTTGGGCAATAAAAGACTTCATCTTACTAAGCGTCAATAAAAATGTTTTAAACTGATTTGAGATTAGTTAAAATTCATATAGAGGGTATGCTTGTGACGTTGCCGTCGGCCGGAGTGCCTGCAGTTCCTCACAGTGAGTGGCAAAAAGACTGAGCGGCTGTACATGTTTTCAGCGTGAATGCCGCAAAAAACAAACACAACACATATAAAGTGGGAAAGAGCTTTGCGATTGACTGTACAACTAGATTTGACAAAAATCAGAGGTATATTTTTACAGACTGCTATAGAAAGAGGAGCAAATGGATCGCTGCAATTCACAGAAACAACTGGACTCCAGTCAGCGAAAGGTGGATCTGCAGTTATCATTTTGTGTCAATATGCTGAATTTAGCTGTAAAACCATACCCATATATTTTGTTATATATATTAACAACTCATCAATTAAATATTTATCATTGCATATTCTGCATTATTGGATGTTTTTTAATAAACACTGGCCAAAAAAAACTATAAAGTTTTAGGGCTGGACGATATGATGATATAGTATATAGGCTCTATATAACACTGACATAAGTGATCACCGGGATTTAGACCTACCTATATTGTATTTATATAAAGCGTTCACAGGCAAATTTGCTTTATGTTTAGGTCTATATTGCTTATTTCACCCGTGTCGAAATCAGGCAAACATGTCAGGCAACACGATTCCTGGCTGCATGTCAATATCCATGGATGACTGGATCTTTAATAAGTTGTAAGGAACACTATATTGAGTCCAAAATTTAGTTTAAATTGATAAAATTGTTCGTTTTAGTCGCACTTTCGCAGTTTCCTCTATTAAATCCAGTCAGGCAGCAGATCTTTTGCCACTCAGTCAGGCTGAGACTCAGTCCGGCGGGAAAGTGACGTCAATGCATTCCCTCTATAGACACTAGTTCATGGTTTCATACAGATTTCAGTAAACTAGCTCATTCTGAAGTACATTGTCTTATTTATTTGTTTAAATACATTTTATGCTGCGATTAGATCCTTAAATGCACTTGTGCTTTCAGAAAACATATTTGCTGTATTCCTGCTTGATGTCAAACTGACCACTTCCAAACTTCCCATAGCCCAAAACACATCTAATACGTCAGAGCCTTCTCTCGTGTGGCAGATGGAAATATAATTCTCTCTCTTATTGATACTACTCATACTTGATGACCTGAAACAGTTGTGTTGTCATTGCATCATGTGCATGTGTTTCTTGGTGTCTTTCAGAATGACCTTGTGTTGGGCTGGTGTGAGAACCACAGAAGATGTTCACAGGTAAGATGTCTTCAGATTAATGAGCTTGACATTATTCATTAAGCGCACAGCTTCTCACACTGCCTCAGTGCTGCTAAATAAAACTCTGTTCAAATGTCATTTCCTTTTAGTGTAGGAAATGGCCAGAGGTTAATGCCTTTATGCAGACCACGTGCCCTGTATGTACACTAAACGTCACTCATGTCTAATGGCTTCTGGAAACCAGTGTAAACAGCACAGTTATATCCTGAGCCAGCTCTTTCCTTCCACCGGATCACTGTCATTTTAAGATGCAGTGCATTATTAGATAGACAGATTTAGATTTTAACATTTGGTCACCAACATTTGGTCCTTACACGTCCATTTTCTGAACAATATTGGATATTGAGCATGGGTCATGTGTGCATATTGTTCTAAAGGGAGAAAAATCATTCATAATCTTTCATCAGAATGTAATAACTCGCTCCGCCTCTGAAATATATCTTTTCAGCAGATTTCAACTTGATTTTTAATGATTTCCATGTGTTATATACTGTAGTGATCATTGATGACCATCCATCAGTTCCTGGATAAAATCAGTCACAGTATAAAATGGGTTGGGGACATGTTTTTTTTAATATTGGGTTTGCCCCCAACGAAATTATTATTATTATAAGGATTTGATGGGGTAATAAGCAGTGTTGTAGTCGAGACCACCTCACTCGAGTCCGAGTCGAAACAGAGACCAGAGAGAGTCGAGTCCGAGTCAAGACCGAGTCCATAGAGAGTCGAGTCCGAGTCGAGTCCAAGACCAGAGACGGTCGAGTCCGAGTCGAGACCGAGACCAGTGAGGGTTGATTACCTAATTTACTTTTATTTACTTAGAGAAATCCTTTATTTTTACTGAATTTACTTAGAGTTTAAAAAATATGATTAGTTTAGGGTAAAAAGGCCACATACTGTAGTAGGTGGTGTTAAAAGTAATTTTATTACAATTTGTCATGCGCAGTTGCGCACTAGAAAATCACCAATCACTGGGCGTGGCAATCAATTTAAAGAAATATTTTGTTAACATACATTAATAATCATGAAAAATATTTTTAATTGAACTCGAGTGGACTCGGGAATAAGTCCGAGTCCTAAAAAAAAAAATGTTCGAGTACGAGTCAATTCCGAGTCCAAATGCACACGAGTCCATGACAAGACCAAGACCATTAAAATATGGTCTCGAGACCGAGTCCGAGACGAGTCCGAGTCTCGAGTACTACAACACTGGTAATAAGCATTAACATCACACCTCTCCTTCCACCTACATTGTAAAAAAAAATATTTTCACAACAATCACAACATTTTATCTTTTGTCAAATCAACTTAAATAATTGATCTGGTTCAGATAACACAATATTTTGAGTTTCTGATGATTAAATCAATTTCCTTCATTATATTAACTCAATTTTTCCATTTCAATGAACTTAAAATTTTAAGGCACCCAGGTTACTTCATTTTTAAGTATAGAGTTTGCATTTGTAAAACATCAACAACTGTTTCAATCTAATTTCCTTTTTCACTATTTCAAATTCATTTTGGATTTCATTTCCGAAATGCCACGGTGTAATAAAGCGCCAGATTTATGATCTTCTATTTCAGATAAAACTGAATGCGCTTTGCACTCAATGAAAATGTGATATCATGTTGTCACAGACGTGTTTTTCGTGGAAATAGTAGCAATGTTAACAGCCTTTTTTACATCCCGAGGTTTTAAATGGGCTTTTAAATGGCACAGTCCACTCAAACAGAGGCAGTTGTGCTTCCCTTAGCTCTCAAACGCAGGGTTAGATCAGAGGAGCTGAGACTCAGCGCTGATATGTGACCGTAATTGCCCTCCGATAAGCCAGTAAACATGGTTAGCTCATTAATGGTAATTGCCTAAACCCAGACATCTCTGGCTGTCGTCCGCCAATCGTCAGGAACCGCTCCCCCCGAGGCCCTAGGCTTTAAAATCCTCAATGAAAAAGAGCAAAATCATTCCTCGTGAAAGCCGTATTTCTCACACCAAGCGTTTAAGCCATCCTAATTGCTTTCAGATGGAAGTAATCCACCGTCAGCCTTTCCAATAACAGGTAAAGTAAATGTTGTGTTTCTTATGAAAATAAGCTGTTTCACATCCTCCCGGCTGAGCCGTGTCTAAAAGTGCTCTTGAAATTAGCTGCTGTTTATGCGTTTAAAGCCCAGGCCAGGAAGTCGCTGTTTTTTTCTTTTTCTTGTTATGTCTTGTTTGGTTGTGAAGGACTATACATCTTCATTTTTTGTTTGTATATTTCTGGAGTGCATGATCAGTTGATCTGTTAAAGTGAATTTCCCCTCATATCCCTTACAAAAAAAAAATACGTTTACTCAAGTGTGGAGCTGTTATTAAACTTCTTTAAAACAAAAAAGAATGATCATTTTATACATTCAGTCTAATTTTCATTTATAGTGCTTAGATACTACTTAACAAAAGTATACTTAATTAACTGACAATTATATACTTGTATTATACACGTCTACGAATATTTGGGCCTATAGTTGTACTTAATAAAAATGGTATAATTTAGTAAATATGTATACTGTTACACTTAAAATACACTTTTTATACACTAAAAAGTGTACCAATTTAGTCGTAAGTATTGAAATTTTGTTAACATTCATTTTATTACACAAAGTATACTTGGAAAATATATTTAAACTTTACGTAAGGAAAGACAATATTTTGATCCTATAATAATTCTTCTTTCGGATTAGGAGAAGAAAACATCCAAAGTATTATACACAAGTGTTTATTTCATTAGTTCGTCTATTTTGCGTCTGTAGATTTCAATTACTATAAATAAAGGCTGTTTTCTCTCTTACATACAGCAAACTTTCCACTTTTACTCCTATCTATATAAGGGAATTTCCTGAGGGATTTGTTCATATATCATTCGCCTGATTTATATAATATTTTTATTCCTAAAACATTGTGATTTTTTTTTTCTTCTGGACAGTATTTTCTGATTTATGGAGCAGTAAAAGTAGAAATTCAAAAATCCTCTCTTTAAAAACATTTAAATCTAAAATGTCAGGAAAAAATGAACCTGGCTTTATCCAATGTTAGGATGTATGTCCTGGAAATGCATGCAAATGTGTGTATTTGTAAATAGATAATGCCTTATTTGCCATTAAACATAGCTACCATTACAGAAAACTTGTACTAAATGTTATGTCTTAATATACTGTGTTTAACTGACTGGGGAAGTATGGATATAGAGTGCAAAATGTTCACATGTTGACCCTGTTCACCTGTGGTGTCTTGCCTTTACAGTTTTTTTTTTTTTTTCGACTGCTTAAACACATTTTTAAAACTTCAAAACTGAAATGAAGCACAAACACATCTCAAAAGGAAACATTTGTCTTACACCTTTGCCATAATATCCCAATATTTGTAAATTTTTGTACTCTATGTTCATCATCTTACAGTAAATAAAGGTGAAATAAATATTTTAAATATATTTTTGGATATATCATATATACACACAGTTATTCAAAACCTAAAGCTCTTCTTTCATGAACTCATATATGCATTTCTGTACAAGACTAAAAGTAATTGTCAGAGAGATGTTGAAAAATTCACGTTTGTGGTTGTGAATACAGTTTACAGTCCGAAACACCTACAACTCAACCTCTGACCTGTTTATAGGCCTATTCTAAAGCTATGATTGGCTGCTGTTCAGTAAAGCAATGAGTGTTTGCACATGTGAGGAGTGTGTGTGAGGCACTGATGAATTACTGTGGCATTTTGATAGGTTGTGTTTGAAAAAGGAAATCAAGAAACTTCCTGCTAGATTTTTTGTGTGTTATATAGACAATTGTGTGTTGTAGTTTGCAAAAAGTGTTTTATGAAACTGAAAACTGAGTCGAAGGCCGAGAATTAGTCCTGGTGTTTGGTTTTAAAAATTGTGTGACGAGTAAGGATTTTGTGTGTAAACAGTTGAAGTCAAACTTGAAGTCACCGTTTCTGTTTGTAAGGGATATCCTTCAGTGCTGAAGTGGCCAGTGTTAGGAGCTTGATCAGGGCGTCCCCCAGCACTAGCAGTGTGATCCGCCAGGTCTGACCCCGGGTCAGATGTTTCACTGTGGCATTACTGCAGGTCTGACCCCGCCGGAGAAGCAGAGGGAGCTTGACCCGACCCGACCCGGGCTGGGCTCTGGACCCGGATCAGCAGGTGAACCGGACGCCTGAGGGTCACTGTGTGTGTGTGTGTGTGTGTGTGTGGTGTTCAGCCGAAGCCACGAGGCCAGTGGTGACCCCGCAGGTTCAAGTGTCGTATTGTCCTGAGAGCTCATTACATTTAACCGTTCCTTTAAGTTTCACAGAAGAACTTATTCCAGCTTTGTTTGGCAACTGGTGATACTGGAGATTTGAAATGAGTCTGGTGTATCTGAAAGCAGTAATATTGTCCTTCGTTTCTCATAGTAGTTCCTAGTCTAATCACGATGCCCAAGATCAAAACTAGCCAAGAACTAGTCAATTAAAGTTGCCCAACCTAAAATGCATATTTTACTGACACTGTTATGCATAAAAACACTATCATAATATCATAAAACCAGGTTCTTTAACTTTGGGTTAACAAATGGTGAGCAAAATCTTTCAGTGGTGGTGTAAATCCTTTCATTTTAAACTACTCAAAAAATGAATGTGTACAAGCTAAATCTTTGTCATGACAACTTGACATAAAATGAAGTTAAACTGTCATGTGGTTGGCTTTGACATTGGCTGTCATGAGGCATTATAACTGTGTCATGAATATTTTTCGTGAGCTCAACTGCAGTGGAACACATTGAATTTGTCATTAAAAAGTTAGAATGGCTTCATGACAGCCAATGTCAAAACCAACCGCCGGACAGTTTAATGTAATGTTAACCAACAAGCTAAGTGGTTTCTTAAGTTTGATAATGTTATCATGTTTATGACATGTTATGTGTTGTCTTAGTATTGTCAAGTTGTCATGACAAAGACACTGACA